CTGATTTCAGTTTACATGTCGCCTCCTTGGATAACAATTAAATTTTGACTCAATCGTCAAAAAAAGTAAAATAACATAATCTTAGAAGTCAACTATAAACCCAATTTTCAGCGAATTTTTGTCATGCCGGTTTTATTTGCTGAGATGTAAACTTCAAGGAGATACCAATTATGAATTTTCAGTTTTTTTTCGCAATTTTACGATACATACAGCCGACTAACAGTCAACCAAAAATCAAGTTTTTCATCTTTGTCGATCTCGTGCGATAGTATTACAAATCCAACTTTATTAATCTATATGGCAAAGTTAAGCTCTGATCTATTGATTTTTAAGTGAAATGAAAACTGGATTAATTGGGAGGATCTGAACCGAAAATCCCAAAAAAGAGAGAAAAAAAATAACTTTTTAAACTTTAAGAAAACTGAGCCATCGAAAAAAAGGTTAGTAGATTTTCGTGATCCATGGGCGCAACACTAACAGAACTTACCAATAATTTCTGGGCAGCGTTTTGGCTGTAAACCAGTGTTATTAATTGTTAAAAGTGTTATTAAAAGTGTCAGGGAAAAATCATCTGTCTTAGCTGCCCATAAGCTTTCCGAATAGCTAAATCGAGCACTTAGGGCCGTTTTCTCGAGTCCCTGTCAAAGTCCCTGATAGCTATCTGTTCGAAAAACTTAAAGACCAGATAAACTGTTCGTAAGAGCAAATCCGCTTTCTCGACTGCTTTAATTTATCTGAACGAGAAACAATTACAGAGTGCTGTTAACGCACTGTAAAGTGCAAAAAATGGCATGCTTCGATTATTTCATCAGCTGTTTGGGTATAATACAAAGGAAAAGTCAACTGTGATTTCGTTTCTTCTTCATAGTTCGCTTTGGGAAATCAGCTGTCATTCTATCGAGCCGAAAACGCTTAACAGGGACTCCGAGTCCCTGTCAAAGTTAGCTCTCACATTTATGCTCGAGAAAGCCAAAATGCCTTAGCAGGGACTTTATCTGTTCGAGAAATGTTAGCCGGCACTCGAGAAACCGGCCCTTAATCGAACTCGGCAGTATGTGGCTGTTACCCTCCCTTTCACACATCGTGTGCCGTTGGATCAGCGCTAGTCTGTGAAAAGTGACAATGACGGGGGCAAGAAAGAAAGTTTCGCTTTACGCGGTACCACTTCTGTTAATACGTTATCCTTGGTGTGAGTGGCATTACTTCGCCTGGTCACAGGATATGTGTTTTGGGGGTAGTATACAGCGCATAAACTGTCTACTGGTTCGGTGTCGCACCCAGCACTTGTAACTACACTTGCCAGAAAAAGTATGCGTACAAATATTTTCCGCAACTTTAGAGCTTAAAAAAACGTCTTAAAAAAATTCGTAAAATGTCATTTTAATTTTAACATTTAGTACACATATTAAGCTTTAATTTGACGTAACTTATTAATTTCTAGCACCTTTACTTTTCCTAATATAAACAAAAATGTAAAAATTGGCCGGATTTCGCATCAGAAAAAGTATGCGTACAAATGCATATAGTATTAGAAAAAGCCATATTTTGGGCAAAGTACGTCGAGTTTAGAACGGAGTTTGATACCCTTTATGTTTTATAACTTCAGTCTACATATTCGGCATCGATTGGACCAATGTCCTTGCATCCTTCGCCGTTATTTGATTCCACTCCTCGACATTGAGTTTTTTCAGCATATCCTTGGATGCAAGGGTGTGAAGGTGAGTCCTGCCCCCCAGGACATCACAAAAATGCTTTTCGGGATTGAGATATACTATTGTAATAGAGAATGTAGCTGTTTTACACATAAAAGCTTTGTTTTGTGGGCGCAATGTTCAGTTCGTTGTCCTCTTGGTACCAAAAGTCCTTTTCGAGTCCCACTTTCAGGGCGCTTTAATTTGTTGTCTTAAAGTGCATAAAACAACTTAACGAGAAATGGCTAGCCATATAACCAAACAAACAACTGCTTTGGCGTAATGCACGAATTTCATACGAATTTTAAAAAAAACTAACCTTCTATCTAAATAAGAAAGTTTTTATACCCATTTCTCGTTAAGTTGTTGACCGATTTTAATAAACGATACCTCATTTGGTTGGTTGTTTTATGCACTTTAAGACAACAAATTAAAGCGCCCTGAAAGTGGGACTCGAAAAGGACTTTTGGTACCAAGAGGACAACGAACTGAACATTGCGCCCACAAAACAAAGCTTTTATGTGTAAAACAGCTACATTCTCTATTACAATAGTATATCTCAATCCCGAAAAGCATTTTTGTGATGTCCTGGGGGGCAGGACTCACCTTTTCACCCTTGCATCCAAGGATATGCTGAAAAAACTCAATGTCGAGGAGTGGAATCAAATAACGGCGAAGGATGCAAGGACATTGGTCCAATCGATGCCGAATATGTAGACTGAAGTTATAAAACATAAAGGGTATCAAACTCCGTACTAAACTCGACGTACTTTGCCCAAAATATGGCTTTTTCTAATACTATAAGCATTTGTACGCATACTTTTTCTGATGCGAATTCCGGCCAATTTTTACATTTTTGTTTATATTAGGAAAAGTAAAGGTGCTAGAAATTAATAAGTTACGTCAAATTAAATCCTAATATGTGTACTAAATGTTAAAATTAAAATGACATTTTTACGAATTTTTTTAAGATGTTTTTTTAAGCTCTAAAGTTGCGGAAAATATTTGTACGCATACTTTTGAAGACACACCGACAGCCTCTGTTGATTTCGATGGTAGATGAACAACAGACAGTGGTATTCTGAGATTGATACTAATTTTATTGAACAAACTTAACGGTATTTATAGGTACAAAAGTGTTTACGCTAACAAATATATGTAGAAGAGGAAAATTAAATTACAGCTATTCTTCACAACTCCCAGTGGGTCAAGGTGCTATATGCAGTGATAAGCTATATTCGCTGCGTCGGCATATTGATGACTGTTAAGCAGAATAACGGTCTGACTGTATAATTGCAATTGGCACACACAAAAAAATTTGCTTGGTAAAATTGACCAACAAAGATAGTTACGTAGTTTTTATACCCGTTACTCGTAGAGTAAAAGGGTATACTAGATTCGTGCAAAAGTATGTAACAGCCAGAAGGAAGCGTTTCCGACCCCATAAAGTATATATATTCTTGATCAGGGTCACTAGCCGAGTCGATCTAGCCATGTCCGTCTGTCCGTCTGTCCGTCTGTCCGTCTGTCTGTCTGTCCGTCTGTCCGTCTGTATGAACGCTGAGATCTCAGAAACTACAAAAGCTAGAAGGTTGAGATTTCCCACACATATTCTTTGGCTTCCTACGCAGCGCAAGTTTATTTTAGCCGAGCGCCACGCCCCCTCTAACGCCCACAATCGCCCACTAACGATTTTAAAATGGGTCCTGCGCCCACATCTTTAACGATTTCCGAGAAGTATAAATGCAATTTTGTTGTGTATATTTATACCTATCGAAATGTAGAAAACATTTTTCAAATCGGACCATTCATTAAAAAGTTATACGCAATCAAAAATTATATATCTATCTCCCTCGCACTCCCTTTAGCTGAGTTACGATTATTAGTCGGGACACCAACCCGACACAGCGTTCGCACTCCCTTTAGCTGAGTGACGGGTATTAGATAGTCGGGACAACAACCCGACTATAGCGTTCTCTCTTGTTTTTGTTCGATTGGCACGCGCTTTTACTTTGATCAAGGTACGCACAAAAAAATTTGATTTGGAATGTTTCATGGGAATAGCTTGTATTCTGCGCGAAATATCCTGAAAAACGTCGAATTTTGACCGATTTCACCCTATTGTTCCTATGGGAGCTATAAGATATAGACGTCCGATCGGTACGCGCTTTTACCCTGATCAAGGTATGCGTAAAAGAATAAAATTCATTTCAAAAGCTCTTATACTGAGCGAAATATCTTCATTTTGTGAAAGCTATATCCGATTGCTCCTATGGGAGCTATAGGATATAGACGTCCGATCGGGTCGGCTTTCAAACTTGATCTGCGTACACATGTTTTAGGACGACTGTGAAAGTTTTAAGTCGCTAGCTTTTAAACTGAGCTCGCAAACGGTATTGAAACAGACGGACAGACGGACATGGCTATATCGACTCCCCTATTGATCCTGATCAAGAATATATATACTTTATATGGTCGGAAACGTCTCCTTCCCTGCGTTACAAACTTCTGACCAAAATTATAATACCCTCTGCAAGAGTATAAAAAATCGGACTAGTATATCATATAGCTGCCATAGGAACGATCGGAAAATTAATGGAAAAGTAATGGGAAATAAATTCTAGCTTCTTTGGTTTTTATTGTATTATCTTCTACTCTAGGATATGACTCTGTTTAAATATTTCCGAATTTCAATTTTAATTTGATCAAAATCGGACGACTATATCATATAGCTGCCATAGGAACGATCAGAAAATTAATGAGAAATATTAGAAAATTGAACAGTTTTGCGATTTGTTAATTAATAGGAATGATCTGCAAGGGTATATAAGCTTCGGCTGGCCGAAGCTAGCTTCCTTTCTTGTTTTTGTTGTTGCTGCCGGTAGTCTGTTCATTAGCAAGCTCGTCAAAAAAAAATATGTATTTAAAATAGGTGCGAAATTTCCCCATTTAGGCGCGAAGCTAAAAATCACTAACGCAAAAATGCATATTATAGCACTGTGTATTATATAAAAAACCTGTATCGTATGCCTTTTCAATTGTGGCATACAGAAAAAATTTCGTAGCTTTTGAACTATTAAAACACACTTAATATTATAGCTTAATTATCTTGGCCTTCTGTGCAACAAAAATGCATTGGTTGTGTCATGCCGTCTTGAAGGACTAATACAAAAAAATTATATATTTCATATATTCCGAGATATTGCAGGTGACGAAATTGCCCCTACACTTGCAAAAAAAACTAAACTTCTTACGAACAAAACAATTGAATGAATAAACCATTTAATATTTATGCGTTCTTTGTTTCAGATTATCGACTTATCCAAATTTATACTCATTTCTGTAGAACATATTTCCTCACTTGGAAGATCATCAACTATTTCAAATGAAACGAATATATTTTGCAATTTATTCTCTAAATTGAAATTATCGTTATATCAAAAATCTTGGATATCACTAGCTATGTAAGTTTTTAATTCAAATACAATATACTTTAATGGAATGCTGTGCTAGTGTGTTTGAAAATATATAATAATATATAAAGACGTATCTGCAATCTCCAAAAAAAAAAGGGGGGGGGGCGGGTTGATATGGACAAAAGATTCCTATATGGAACTGTAAAATGCAAACTAACTGATTCCATGACCCTAAATTCAATGCTTAGGCAGCGTAACTTGTTTTGGCAAAAGTGGCTATTTTCGTTTCTGAATAACTTTTAAACGTGATTTTTTACAGTAACAATATATATATCAAAATTTAAGGAATCTCAAGGGCTATACAGTTAGAAGTTGTAAGGAAAAACGTTAGAGCCGTTTTTGAGAAAAATAAAAAAAACTAAAACAAAAGTTAAAAAATTTTGTTTTATGCATATTTTTTAAATATTACATTTACACAAATTACATATAGGAGGCGCTTAAAGCATTTTAAAATACCGTTCAAACGAGATACACCACAAAATTTAAGTAGTTTAGAAGTTACGGCCTTCCGTATTTTAGCTATTTATACCTGTTTTCCCGCTAAACTAGCGGGTTTTTCCAAAAGTGGTAGAACTAAAGTTTCTTATATCAAGCTGTTAAACATCATATTAAATTTTCAGAACTTTAAAACCATATTTTGGACAAACTGACAAACAGAATTAAATTTTCACTTCTTTTGGCTATCCAACGGAGCTTTGGATATTATCATATGACCCCTCATTCGACGGGTATTTTCAATTCAAAAACAAGAGAGAACTCTAGAGTCGGATTCGTGTCCGGCACGCAGCTAAAGGGAGTGCGAGGGAGATGGATATATAACATAACAAAAATATCTTCTACATTTCGATAGGTATAAATATACACAACAAAATTACATTTATTCTTTTCGGAAATCTTTAAAGATGTGTGCGCCAGACACATTTTAAAATCGTTAGTGGGCGATTGTGGGGGCTCTGCGAAAATAAGGCCCCAAAAACTGGGGAGTTGTTTCATATGAAATAAGTCCCCAATTTAAAAAACGAAATAACTCCCCAATCCTTTCGTCTTTTATGTGTCGAACAACCTCCACTCTCAGTTAGTTGTATAAATCGGCGACTTTTAAAGTATTCCTCGTTCCGAATAACTTTAACAAATTTTAAGAAATTGCCATTTGGCAACACAGAACGCCCTAAAACACCATTGTATCCTTTCACAGTTGCTGCCGTGCGAGTATTTTCCTTATACACTGAAAAGTTATTGCAGCCCACCTAATTACAATTTCAGAAATAAGTTAATATTTTACGTTAAGAGGTGCTACCTTCTTAATCCACTGCTTGTTGAAATAAGTTAAAAAATTGCAAAAATCGTTGTTAACATCAAACATAACAAGAAAGGAAGCTAGCTTCGGCCAGCCGAAGCTTATATACCCTTGCAGATCATTCCTATTAATTAACAAATCGCAAAAATGTTCAATTTTCTAATATTTCTCATTAATTTTCCGATCGTTCCTATGGCAGCTATATGATATAGTCGTCCGATTTTGATAAAATTAAAATTGAAATTCGAGTCAACAGAGAGAAACAGAGTCATATCCTAGAGTAGAAGATAATACAATAAAAACCAAAGAAGCTAGAATTTATTTTCTTTTACTTTTTCATTAATTTTCCGATCGTTCCTATGGCAGCTATATGATATACTAGTCCGATTTTTTATACCCTTGCAGAGGGTATTATAATTTTGGTCAGAAGTTTGTAACGCAGTGAAGGAGACGTTTCCGACCATATAAAGAATATATATTCTTGGTCAGGATCAATAGGGGAGTCGATATAGCCATGTCCGTCTGTCCGCCTGTTTCAATACCGTTTGCGAGCTCAGTTTAAAAGCTAGCGACTTTAAACTTTCACAGTCGGATATAGCTTTCACAAAATGAAGATATTTCGCTCAGTGTAAGAGCCGCGTGCCGATCTATATCTTATAGATCCCATAGGAACAATAGGGTGAAATCGGTCAAAATTCGACGTTTTTCAGGATATTTCGCGGAGAATATAAGCTATTCCCATGAAACTTTCGAAATCGTATTACTTTATGCTTACCTTGGTCAGGGTAAAAGCGCGTACCGATCGGACGTCTATATCATATAGCTCCCATAGGAGCAATAGGGTGAAAAAATTTAAATTTTTATTATACCCGTTACTCGTTGAGTAAAAGCAAAGAGAATATAAACACTAAGAGGTGTAACGTCCATACAACTGAATGTACGGCAAAATTTTTGGTGTGGATTCAGAAAGTGGATTTATAATTTTCCTAGTGTGCGTTGTCCGTGTTAGATTCTTTGGTTGTGTTAGTGTGCAATTTCGTTTGCTCTGCTGCGAAATAGGCATCTGTCTGACGTCTCGAAACAAGGCACTGTGGGCTAGGGGTGTAGTCGCTCAACTGCGGATCTTGTCGGACCGAGTTCAACTCCGATTGAAAACAAAATTTTTTTTTTTAAACATTGTTCATTTAATATAAATTTTTAAAATTGAAAGAAAGGTAAAGACCATTAAAGGATTGAATGATTTCGGTGTAAATCATTTCTTTCTAGGGATTGTGTGCTTGCTTTTTTGTTTAAAAAATAAAATTATTGTTATTTTTAGTCCCTGAATTGCATTTAAATTGTACACTTGAATAAAAATTAAAAATTAAATAATGTTTGATCCCAAGCGTGGCTTGTAGATCAATATAAGTTTGTATACGAGACCTCTTCCCGGAGGTCAGAAAGGAAGACCGCGGAGTTATAAGATGTGTTGATAACTGATTTATTGTGAGCTTGGTACATGGTTATATACTACTTGGAGATGCGGAAGTTAAGTGTAAAGAATAGTGGAATGGGTTGTATTCTGGAGTAGGTCAGTATGTTTTGACTATGGCAGCGGTTAACGTAGTTGGATCGGCTGACACTGCAGAATGTGCTGACCGCTTGGCGGGTCAGTGAGACATCGAGTCAACCGTTGACATTGATTATATAGAATGTGCCGATCAACAAATATTATAATATCTGCCGTGGGTGCAACTGAACGCCTGTTACTGTTACCAAACTGTAGATCTGCTTGATTTGTTGGTCGTTGGTCATGCTGAGCAACATGGAGACCAAACATTCTCCCCCCCCATTGAGGGGTACCCTCAATTAAGGCGTGATGTCGGTCACCTTATGTAGCATTGTATGATGCCGCTGCTGGCAGACTCGACAGTTGACTGATGATTTACAGACTTCGACCTTATGAGCTGTAGACAAGCAATTTGTGCATCCTCCTACTTGAATAACAATTTGGCGCCGCGTTTTAGGATCCATTTCTTGAAAACGGATACATGTCCTTATGTAATGTGGACCTAGGTGACAAATCTTGCAGCTCCCTTCGTTGTTGACTGATGGATTGCGGAGTGTTGTTGTAGGTTGTGCGTTTATCGTCTCAAACATGGAAGCGCGGCGCTCAATAAACGTCAGTACACTCGTTAAGACTGGAATTTCAGTTGGTGCATAGGCTGAATTTTCCAGTGCGGCTAGGCTTTCATGGTCTAGTTTTTTTCTGATAAGAAAACCAAGGATTGAATCCCATGATTTAGTGCTGATATCGAGATTTTTGAGTGTGCCTAAAGTCTTCTGCACTCTGCTCGAAGCTGTTGTGCAGTCCCGTTGATGGGCATGTGATCGACAATTTTCCCTATTGCAGCAAACACTAATATTTTGCCGTTTTGATACCTTAGTTTTAGTCTTTTCCAGGTGTCCTCATATCCAGCTTGTGAGAAGGCTGTATCCGTCAAAATGTTCCTTGCTTCACCGCAAAGAGAGCTCTGAAGAATGTGTAGCTTCTGGCTGGCGGAGTATGGCTTATTATGGACTAATTCTACAAATAAATCGTGGAATCTGGGCCAATCTAGATATTCGCCATCAAATTCAGGAATCTTGATTGGTGGAAGCGAAAGACTTAGGCTCATTGGCGCGTCGTTCTCTCGAAGTAAGGTAATTTCATACTCTTCGTACAGTGCCTTGAATCGACTTACTTCTGCTTCGGCGGCGGCCACTGCTCCAGGTATATTGTCGACTTCATCATGGGCCTGTCTCAATAGTTCCCATTGGAGATGCAGATGTCGTTGTAGCTCTGGGGTGATTGTATGCGCCGTTGACGCCAGCGCAAGAGATGATTCCAATTCGTTACATCGTCTCTGTAGTTGTCGGATAGCAACTTCAATCGATGAGCCATTGTGTATGTGTTTAACTATCGGGTCCTTTGTGTTCTGTGTTCGCCGCGGAACTTTTAGAGGCCCGCTTCCCGATGGGATGTTGTCTTTAAATATTTGCTCATATTTTTCTACCAGCTCCTTTAATGCCGCTAATCTTGAGGCATACTCCTCTCCGGTAGGTAGTGCCGCCTTCTCGACCTCTTCGTCTAGATCACAAAACTGCTGCCAGAGATCGTTCATCTGGCCTAGCCGACCGGCATAATAACCGTCTCGTTTGCGTCGTTCGGCCGAATCCTTGCTATAATTCTTTATGACCTGTTGGATTTGCCCTTGTACCTCATTCTGATCGTCAAACAGACGATTTTGTAAATCGACTCTGTTTTGACTGGTTTCCTCTATGAATGAGATCGACATAATGTTTGCAGTTAGTGCTCGTGTTTTGGAGATGACGAATCCTGTGAATCTGGATCATGCTCGGTATTTTAGGTAGATGGATAGGCCGGATGGGGTGATTGATCCTGTGGAGCTGGATGAAGCTATGTTGTCCTGTGAAGTTGGATAAGCTGTCTATCCTGTGAAGCTGGATGAGCTATGCTGTCTTGTGAAGCTGGATAAGCTATGCGGTCCTGTGAAGCTGGATAAGCTATGCGGTCCTGTGAAGCTGGATAAGCTGGAGTGTCTGTCCGTCTGTCTGTCCGTCTGTCCGTCTGTCCGTCTGTCCGTCTGTCTGTCTGTATGAACGCTGAGATCTCGGAAACTATAAAAGCTAGAGGATTGACATTTTGCATGCAG